TCTCTATAAAGGGATTGTTTACATGTTTTCCTCAGCTCCCATCTCTATAAAGGGATTGTTTACATGTTTTTCTAAGCTCCCATCTCTATAAAGGGATTGTTTTCATGTTTTCCTCAGCAATGTCTGGAAGAGGAGGACAGGAACGTTTAAACCTGCGCCACGACAGGACCACCAGAGGCCGAAATTAAAGAATTTGAGCCGCGGTTTAAATCCGCCAAAACCCGGTTTAAATTAAGCGCCGGCTTAAATCTTGAAACATTAGATACAATTTTAAGTGGAACCAACCATATTTAAACCGCGGCTTAAATTTAAACCGCCGCTCAAATTCTTTAAATTCGGCCTCAGGTTAACTTTTTGGGGATAGAGGAATGGCATCCTCTCCGCACCGCAATCCAATTCAAAATCTGTGGTCTATGCTGGAGGAAGACATGAAGTCGGAAAAGAACCAGCCTCAGAATATTGCTCAATTGGAAAAGCTACTGAAAAGATCCTGGAGAAAGATCAGCTTGGATACCCTGGAGGACCTGAGCTGAAAACTTTAGAATGAGATATCCTTAATCCCGATCAATTAATTAATCTGGAGATTAATAACGAGAGGATAACAAGCATTATTTAATCTGGAGATTAAGAAAAAGAGTGGATTAAGAATTAATCCCGATATCCACCATTATAAAGTTCTCAGCTCTGGTCTTATCAATGCCAAACCGTGTAAAAGATGTCTATTACAGTCGGAGTTATTTTATGTAATAAAATAAATCTATAATAAACAATTTTTTGACGCATCTAGAAGATTTTATTTTAAGTGATGCACACTTTATTTATAAAATGGTCGAGATGAAGAGCGAAAAATAGTAATAAACCGGCTGCAATTTATTTTTAGCTCACCATAAAATCAATAATTTCTTTATCTCTAAAATTAATTTGCAAAACCACAACGATCCAAAGGTTACAAGCTCTAACTCAAGTACTGATGAGAATTTTGCCAATTTCTTGAATATTACTTAAAAACTAAAGCTAATAATAATAATAACTATAGCTCTGAAACTAAAAAATATTAGTTAGATAAAATAAAAGTCATATTACGTTGATGCAACTTATTGTTAGTCACTCCTTTCAAATTTCATTGTTACGCTACCTTATTGTTGTTTTTGTGCACAGACCCTTTTAATTGATTTAATGTCGTGATTAATTCTCATCATGTAGATAATACTTATTTTATTAAATCTTTTCTATCATGAGTAGGCAAATATACAGATAAGGATGTAGCAAATATACAGATATAGGATGTAGCAAATATACAGATATATGATGTAGCAAATATACAGATATAGGATGTAGCAAATATACAGATATATGATGTAGCAAATATACAGATATAGGATGTAGCACATAAGCAGATATATGATGTAGCAAATATACAGATATAGGATGTAGCAAATATACAGATAAAATATGTAGCAAAAATTTGGTTTACTTTTTTCGTACATTCAATTCAAGTCATCTCTCAACTGTCATGTTTCGTGGGACACCCTGTATGTCACCACAAAAAAACCTTCAGTTTTAACTTCTTGCTTCTTCACAATATCTTTCATGGAATTAAGTGTTTGACACAAACTTAAATTTTCTAATCCATAATCTTTGCAACCTAATGATGTGAACCTTTGATATTTTAAATTTAAATTTTTGGAGTAAACAGAATTTAAAGTTTAAATCATTAGGTTGCAAAGATATAGAGATTAAAAAAAAAAGTTTGTGTCAAAGACACAATTCAATTTAAAAACTATCTATGAAAGAACATCATATATGTTTGCAAATTAAATTTTTAAAAGTTACGAAAGTACACAATTTGTTATCATTGTATTGAGACAGTTTCATATAAGCCACAACATGGTGGGAGTATATGATGTAATATTCCAAATAAGTCAAAAAATAAAAATTAATAGCTAAATGCATTGTAAATTTAATAAAGGACAGAAAAAATGTAAAATTTGATAACATCCGGAAGAATGTAAAATAAAAAAAAATTAGAGAAATATATGACACCCGTGGCACTTAATTGAATCCTACCAAATGATAGATTTTTTGTTTGAAATCTCGCAACCTCGATTCTACAAATCTGCGAATGCGTAAACACACGGTTTTAAAGCTGTTTGATCAGAAATAAAATAAATAAGATATTATTGCATATCCTTCCATCCTAAAATTCCATTTAAAAATTTCTCCTCCTCATGAATTTTGCATTTACCTGACTTTAAAAGTGAAAAGTGTTAAAAATAAGCTAATATAGTTGCTAAACGCCCGTCTTTAAAAAACGCAAGTTTGTTTACGTTATTCTCATGTTTAAAGATATTCCCTGTAAAAACTAATAAAAATTAAATTGTAATGAATTAATTTCTTTTAAACTTGAAACTAAAATACCTGACACAATGGAGACAGCCAAATTTAAACTTGAAACTAAAATACCAGACACAATGGAGACAGCCAAATTTAAACATGAAACTAAAATACCAGACACAATGGAGACAGCCAAATTTAAACATGAAACTAAAATACAAGACAGCCAAATTTAAACTTGAAACTAAAATACCAGACACAATGGAGACAGCCAAATTTAAACTTGAAACTAAGGAAGATGAAAGAACGGGTTGTTGTAGAATGAGATGCGCGCATGTTGTTTGTCACATGCGAAAACGCAGTAAGACAACCAGGCAACATAAGTAATTGCGTACAAGTCAAATACGATTTAACTCTTTTGTTAAGTCTGTGGGCTGAATGTAGAGTGTAGAGTGTATAGTGTAGAGTGTATTGTCGATTGTGTTATGTTAGTTGTATTGTGTAAACTAAATGAAATGCTCTTTTGTTTTAAAAATTATTTTTGAATATTTAATCATGCAAGGGTAGTATTGTATACTAGATATTATATATGTGCTTCTTATCCTATACCTACATGTAATAGATTCATGACAGGTCCCACACAAAACCAACATTTGTATCCATTTTTAACGGGAATGTCTTTGTGAGGATTTACTTTATATCCTTTGTAAGATCTTGTCTAGATTATCAGAAGCATCTTAGAATTCAGAATTCCAGAATGCGCGAGCGCCGCGTTTCATTCTGTTAACCAGAGAATGCATATCTCGTGTTTACAATAAATAGAAATATCTTGTTATACAAATTTTCGCATAAATTATAAATTTGATGTCTACATATGATTTATCAGTTTACCATATCTATATATTTAAATAAAACTATTTACAAGAATACGGTTGACGGTTGAACAGATTGTATTCAGTCTTATTTCCTGAATTCATGTTTACTGAAACAAGCCATATCGTCGTCTTTGCATTGAGTTGAAAATATGGCTAGATTTTTTTAAAGTTTCAAAATATATGTTAGGTGACTCATTTAGTTATTGGCCGGTCTCGTGTCATAACTTTCCTCGAAAAAAAATCAAATCCATCAAAAAACTCCAGTCGTCTAATCCTTATAATTTTTCAAGATAATGTGGTAGAACTACAGATCAATTAGTTGTTATTTGAAATTAAAGGTTTTAATCAACAGAATTTAGAGGTCGGACATTTCGTGTAAAGAACCATTAACTTTATACGCTTGATCTCGATATCTAATGTGGTCAGCTTTAAATTTAAAGATCATTGTTTGATCCATCAATTAAAATTAGCCTTGCATGGTATGATCACCTTGTGATCTCAAAGAGGGGTTAAATTAATCTGCTTTAGATGGAAATCAATGCCTGAACCCGAGCTTCACAACACAAAGTTTTGACTTTATATATCGGAAATTTTTTTCTGGAAGTTGAGAAAAGTGTTCAGTTTCTTTGCAAAAATTTATCTAATGATTGAAATTACAAAGAAGAAGAACGTTGTTTTTCTGGTTTGAAAAGTGTTTAATTCTTATAATTTCTCCACTGTTTCTGAAGCAAGAAACGTAACCACAATTCAAAATAAACAGTTTTCAAAAATAAAACATGGATATATAATTTATACTTGATCATGGTTAAAGTCACTCTATCACTTGAATTTACATTTACAGTCCCTTTAAACAAATTTTTACTTCAAAATAATAATGATTTAAAAATGATTTAAATAATGATTATGTAATCAAATTATGTTTTTTTAACAAGGTTTCCTTTTTTAGAATTTTAAATACTTCAAAGAATTGGGAATTAAATTATGACTTTCAAGTCGTCTTCATTTTCCGCAGCATTTATTCATGAATCTGAAGCATGTGACAGTAGCAGTAACACTAATGTTTGGGAATATCATCTATATATGAGTATTGAGTATGCATAAATGTCCAAGTGAAAAAATGGTAATTATATTTTGATTCTTTTAACATCTTTAAACTGTGCTTCATTCATTTATAAATCGCTCTTGTCTCATTTATATATGTTCACTCAACGGCTAAACCAAATTGGCTGATTTTTTTTAGGGAACCCATGGGCAACGTTCGGCACTTCAGCTGTAAAAGTCAACTGCAACGCGTACGATTTTAAATTTTAAATTATTAAATATTATTTGTAGCCCAGGCCCACGATCTGTATAGTTGAAACAAGGTGTTGACGGAAATAGATTTTGAGATTTATCATTTAAAAGTATCATTAGCGATTCACAACAATTGTATATCCTTCAAACCTAATAAACGGTTGTCAGCATGCAACTTGCAATAGTTAAGTTTGGCAAAAATTTGCATGACTAAAATATTTGTGAAAACTTATGTTTGGTAATTTGCTAAATCTGAAAAGTTAGCTGTAATTGACACTAGTGCATGCATAAAAAAGCATGTTATATATTTAAAGAATTGCGAACTTTTGTTTTGTAAATTAATCCCTTTCGTAAAGAGCATTGCCAACTTTGTCAGGGCAAATAAAAGGGCAAATCCAATGATTTAGTTGACTTACGCTAAACTCTATTAATGTTTTTCTCTCTCTCTTGCTCTCTCTCTCTCTGTTAAGTATGTGAATGAATGTGTGCAAAAAGGAGCAGGGTTCATTATAAATATATTTATTGGTGCACTTAGACCCATTCATTTATCATTTTACCCGCGTGGTCAGGAGCAGGATAAGATCCGCAATTTTCCAATAAATAAACTTGGTCAATAAATTACAACAAAGAGAGACTAGAACTTGGTTTAATGCCACAAGCACATCTGGGTCTGCATTCAAAGATCCATTTGAATCCGTGCCATTAGGGGGATATCCAATGTTGATTGCAGGGTAGAGATATACACACTGATTATACACGTCCAGCGTATGCAGCCTGACCGTAGGATGCTAGAGAATCAGATGCTTCAGGAGCACCATATCCTTCTTCAGGACTGAAAGCATCAGATGCCTCAGGTGCTCCGTATCCAACCTCAGGACTGATAGCTTCTGCGGCTTCTGGTGCTCCATATCCTTCTTCCGGGCTAAACGCATCTGCAGCTTCAGGGGCTCCATAGCCAGCATCTGCACTGAAAGTATCAGCTTCAGAATAAGATGGAACATTGTTGCTAGCATCAGCATAAGTGGGAACATCGTTACTAGCATCAGCAGCAGCCTCAGATGCTTCAGCTCGGGCAGCAGCAAGCTCGGAATTCTTTTCTGAAGCAATAGCTTCAGCTTCGGAGCAGTCAAAGTTGAACCACCAGTCGCAGATGAAGTAGTTCTGGTTAAAGATGGTTCCATTAGGACAGAGGAAGCTGTACTTGGCAAGACCTCCTTGACCATCAGCAGTGCAGATATGGAATACCTGGCATTCAGCTCCAGAGTCAGCATAGTAACCTCCATCTACTTGACCATCACAAGAGAAAGCAGTTTCAGGAATATCACCATAAATTGGGTAGTCTTCTCCAGGTACGCCGGGAACAGCATTCATCAACATTTTGATTCCAGTATCTCCTTCAGGCTCATCACTGACATTAGAGCCTGTATAGGTTGGGGGAGCAGCCTGATCAGTGGGAACATCAGAAGGATCATAATCATCATAGGCTTCCTCTGCAGCAGCGGAATCCAGTTCAGAGGCAGCACCATAGTTATCAACAGGTGCCTCAGCAAAATCATCAGATCGAAGATCAGCTTCTACATTGTCAACTGGGGCCGGAATAGCTTCTTCGGATGCAGCTCCATAACTGTCAGCTGGAGCAATTGATTCATCAGCTGCTCCGTAACTACTTAAAGGAGCATCATCATATGCTTGGATATCCTCAGAAGCAGCACCATAAGTCTCACTTAAACAGGGAAAATGTCAGATTTAAATCTTTGACACATCAAATGTGTCAAAAAATTAGTTTTACAATTATTTGAATATATTTTTACCTCGGGGCTTGGTTGGAGGCAGAGGGAAGGGGTTCATCTGCTGGAGGGAGGTAGGAAGTTCCTTGGCGACCCTGGCGGGAAGACCCTTGACGTCCCTGACGTAAACGCTGAGGAACAGAGGAGCCTAGGGCCAGGATACCTAAACATAAAGATAAGTTAATGACAAGGATGGGAGAGGAGGGGGGGATGGGGGTGTACTGTATATGACCTTGCATTCTTACACACGTTCACATATACAATACATATAAGTCGTGTGGACTAAACTAAAAACAAACCTTTGCTCATTAATAGCTATAGACAGACACACAATAACGATATTTATATGTACAACGTAGTTCTCCTATTCAAGAAGGTGTGAATTCTATAGTATTTACATATATGAAACACTATCATGTACGTACAATGTACATACAAGGTACAAATAGCTAAACATATTGCTCATCCCTCCTACGGTGTATAATGATTAATCGAATGTATGACCTTATGTATAAATATATTTGGGCCTAGTGCCCTATATGACTGCAATATATAAGCACAGGTCATGGGGAATTATTCAATCAGTCTTATTCCTTCAGACATCTGATCATATTAAAAATAAGAACAAGAACAACCACAAAAATGCAACAATAGAAGTGTGTGGAATGTCGTTGGAGTGTTAATTACTTGGAGTTTGATAGGAGTGCAAATTTTGTTGAGTGAACAGTATAAAATGTGGAGTTATAGTGAATTGTTTCGGTATATGGAGTAAAAAGTGTAAATCTAAAGTGTTTAGATTGAAGTGTAAAATGTGGAGTATGAAGTATATATATATTGTGGTACTGGTATGTGGAGTAAAACGTCTAGAATTGGGGTGTTAGGAATGTGAAGTATGAAATGTGGAGTATGAAGTATATATATTGTGGTATGTGGAGTAAAACGTCTAGAATTGAGGTGTTAGGAATGTGAAGTATGAAATGTGGAGTATGAATATTACGTATTGTGGTGTGTGAAGTGTAGATTTCAAGTGTGAACTTCTAAATTATAAGATGTGGTGTTAAGTAACAGGTGTAGATTGGATGTGTTTAAGTACGTGTATATAAGTGTAGACTGTAGACAGAATGTGAAGTTTTATTTTGCCTGCATAATATACTAAATATGGACTAATACAGACAGATTTGTCAACTCCTCCCTTCCCATCCCTACCCCCGGCCATCCCTACCCCATCCCCGCTCAAATATATATTCACAAATTATCATTTTTATCCTATTGATTTGAAGAGGAATCTATGTTTTTAAGATGATTTGTATCCGAGAGCCCTGAGGGCTGTTCAAAGCGTCGTTTAATGCCTAAATTAGGGATGTTATATTCACTCAGCCTGTCAAACATGATACAGTCGATACTATTAGTTAAACAGAGATTTAGAGATTTTTGAGTAGGCTCTAAATAGAATGAGTGGAATTGTCAGACGGAATTTTTTTGACCATCTTCGGACTGCGATGTCTTTTAAATTCTTGATCCATGTTTCTTTTTGATGTTTATTAAAAAAAAGGCATGATTAACCGAAGGTTTAAACCCATCTTAGGCATATTATACATTTAACATCAAAGTAAAAATCTTCTGTATGATGTATGAAAGTATGAGGGTTAAAAGAAAAGATATCTTTCCTCATTCCTAAATAATAAAAGAAAAATGCAAAAAAAAATCGGAATTTAAATTGCAAAAATTAACGAACAAACATTCATTATTTAAATTTTGCAAAACATTTAAATCAAAGAATTCTAAAAAGTGGATCGTTAAACTTGCCCAATAGTTTTGATAATGAAAGTATTTTTGAAAGACTAACTTTGCAAAAAAAAGTCATCTAGTATAAACGGTATTTTTCAAGCGATAAAAATAGATAAGCACTCTAATTCAATTTATATAATCATTGATCTAAATACTTGAACAAAGAAATAAAAGAGCATACGAAATTGAAATATTTTAAACTTGAATAAAATCTGAACGTAAGAAGAAAGTTATGAGCAATTAAAACCAAGGAAATAATTACTGTCACAAGGAAATCTGTAGAATTTTTAACATTAAGCAAAAGAATGCAATTTCAATATTCCAATTCTTATCTTTCACGTGTTTAGGGAGGGATTTATTTTCATAAAAAGTTCCTCTTATAAAACGATAAACCTAAATGTCGTATAGTATTTATCTTACAGATACTTTTTATGTCATGTATATTTTTTTACTATAACAAAATTATGAAAATGAATATTTAAAATTAAAATATAAAAAAATATAAAATATTCTTAAAACCTAAGATTATAACAACACTTCTCGACCGTTTTCCCTGCAATCGTGCCGTCTACTCTATAATTTGACTCCATTATATAATATATTTCTGAATAATGATTATTAGATTTGTACAAGCGTAGAGGGGGGTCTTCACGATACATGGAACTGTACAGGGATTAAGTCGGTACATAATGCCAATGTTGTGTAAGTGGCCGATCAAAAAAGAGTGTAATTCTTTTCAACATTAAAGTTTAAATGCCTTTTAAAAACTGTATCTAAATATTAATGATGGGTTTCAAAACTGTAAAAAAAAATTGATAACAATCTTCAAATGTAACGTCACTTTATAATATCAATGTAAATACCTTTACCGTAATGTTAATTGTTACGGAAAAAATCTATGTTGAAGAATTTACGTTGTGAATATTTACAAGTTGTATAAAAACGAATCTTGAAAAATTCTAAGATTTAATGTTTCACGATTCACTTGCTATACAAACCCCTAATACCCTACTATTGCCCATGAATATATGTATATTTAATGAGTATTGAATATTATTTGTAAACACGCATATTAGTTTCCATATTTATGCATAAATGGTTGATAATGAGCTATATTATGCATCTATAATATTAGGGGAGAAAATACTGACGTTGAAATCATTGACCTTTTTATTTTACAATATCATCTGTATACCCTGTACTCATTGTATTCTCTGTATATAATTAGTATTCCTCTAGTATTCCTGTATCCTTATATCCCTTTTATCCCTGTATCCCTGTATCCTTGTATTCTCTGTATATATACATGTTTACATGTTTACTAATATTCCTGTATCCTTGTATCCCTTTATCGCCTGTATCCCTGTATCCTTGTATTCTCTGTATTTATACATGTTTACATGTTTACTAGTATTCCTGTATCCTTGTATCCCTTTATTCCCTGTATCCCTTTATCCCCTGTATCCCTTTATCCCCTGTATCCTTGTATTCTCTGTATATATACATGTTTACATGTTTACTAATATTCCTGTATCCTTGTAACCCTTTATCCCCTGTATTCCTGTATCCTTGTATTCTTTGTATATATACATGTTTACATGTTTATAGTATTCTTGTATCCTTGTATCCCTGTATCCTTGTATTCTCTATATATATACATGTTTACATGTTTACTAGTATTCTTGTATCCATTTATCCCTGTATCCTTGTATTCTCTGTATATATACATCTTTACATGCTTACTAGTATTTCTGTATCCCTTTATCTCCTGTATCCCTGTATCCTTGTATTCTCTGAATCCTATGTAAACCCTGTATCCCATGTAACTCTTGTATAATCAGTATTCCCTGTTCTCTGTATCCTCTGTATCCTCTGTATCCCCTGAATCCTCTGTATCCCTTGTATCATTGTACCCTTAAATAACTTCATTTCAAATTCGGTGTTAATGATGCTCCAAACTTCACCTTAAATCACTTGTTTATCTTTTATCCCTTTTTTCCATGTATCTCCTGTATCACCCTTTATCCCTATAGCCCTGTATACACATGTATCCCTATCAATGTAATATCCGTTTTCTTGTTCATGTACCCATATCTATCTATCTATCTTCCTATCCAACTATCTATCTATCTAAAAATCTGTAAGTCTATCCATCCATCTATCTATCTATCTATCTCCAATAATGATGTTGACTTAAACCAAAAACCAAAAAACATACTTCCAAGACAAACTAATTATAGAAATGGTTACTTCAACAAGACCCAAAGCAGACCTCCCTACCCCCCTCCTCCTTCTCCTTGTTGTAAGAAGGAGTCTAGAAACTAAACTGAAGTTAAAGGAAATGAAAGTTAAGATGCGAACAGATGAACAGAAGTTGTAGATGGAACATCTTATATAGATATATATTTATCTACACAGTAAAGTTCATCTCTGTTGTTCTAACTTTCAGTCCGGCAAACTTATCCCTTAAACTGTTTCAACAATTTTAATTAAATGTAATATTAAAGTTATAAACTTATAAACTATTATACCTGATTTAATTCGCTTTGTTTTAGACTGGTTCTGTTCTCTTCAGTAAATATCAAAATAAAGTTTTTGGACTTATTTAAAAAATATAAATTTACTTTAGAAATAAAAATAAATAAAAAAATTGATATCTGTCCTCGTTTACCTTGATGGAGTATAGTGACTGAATTTGAGCTGCAGGATTGAGGCTTGGCCCAGGAATTTAAGGCCTTTCTCGATGACCTTCTCATTAATTCGAATCTGTTGATTGTCGTGAAGGGTGTAGGCAGACCCAAGGGGTGGTCAGAAGCCTTTTGTTCGAGTAAACATCTTTCTTCTTCGATCATTTCTGAATAAAGATAATAAAATTACAAACAGTATTTTAATGGGTGCAACCTTTTAAAATTGCAATTTCCCTTTCTAGCTTTAACATTAAGCTTTTTATTTCAAAACATTGTTTTCTTTTTCATCCTCAATATACGCAGTTAATAAAAAATCGTTGTAAATGGAAAACGCAAAGAAAGGTACGTTCTCAATTATTATTAATAGGCAATATTAATATTGTTTGTATCTGTAATGAAAAGTTAATATAGGCAATATTAATAATGTTTGTAGCTGTAATGAAAAGTTAATATAGGCAATATTAATATTGTTTGCAGCTGTAATGAAAAGTTAATATAGGCAATATTAATATTGTTTGTAGCTGTAATGAAAAGTAAATATAGGCAATATTAATATTGTTTGTTGCTGTAATGAAAAGTAAATATAGACAATATTAATAATGTTTGCAGCTGCAAAAAAAATTAATAGGCATTATTAATAATGTTTGCAGCTGCCATGAAAAGTTAGGCAATATTAATAATGTTTGCAGCTGCAATGAAAAATTAATAGGCATTATTAATAATGTTTTCAGCTGCTATGAAAAGTTAGGCAATATTAATAATGTTTGCAGCTGCATTGAAACGTTGATGTGTGAGTTAAAATACACAAACCAAATGCGCAAATATTCTTGTAAAGAATGCGCAAATCTAGTTCTCCAACTCTATAGCTACATGAAGGGGTTTTCTTAAGCAACCAAGATTTGGCCTGTCCATTTTCATTTAGAATTTAGATAATTAGAGATTTAAGTTGAGTGCAATATAATAGTTAGAACTGTCCAGGGCTCACTGCACTGAATTAAATACTAGATATTAAACTCTGTTACTACCTGAGGTGTCTAGTGTAAAGTTATATGTACACTATATAGGTTAGAACTGTACAGGGCTTACTGCACTGAATTAAATACTAGATATTAAACTCTGTTACTACCTGAGGTGTCTAGTGTGGAGTTATATGTACAATATATAAGTTAGAACTGTCCAGGGCTCACTGCACTGAAATATATACTAGATATTAAACTCTGTTACTACCTGAGGTGTCTAGTGTAAAGTTGTATGTACAATATAATAGTTAGAGCTGTCCAGGGCTCACTGCACTGAAATATATACTAGATATTAAACTCTGTTACTACCTGAGGTGTCTAGTGTAAAGTTATATGTACAATATATAAGTTAGAACTGTACAGGGCTCACTGCACTGAATTAAATGCTAGATATTAAACTCTGTTACAACCTGAGGTGTCTAGTGTAAAGTTATATGTACACTATATAGGTTAGAACTGTACAGGGCTTACTGCACTGAATTAAATACTAGATATTAAACTATGTTACTACCTGAGGTGTCTAGTGTAAAGTTATATGTACAATATATAGGTTAGTATTGTACAGGGCTTACTGCACTGAATTAAATACTAGATATTGAACTCTGTTACTACCTGAGGTGTCTAGTGTAGAGTTATATGCACACTATATAAGTTAGAGCTGTCCAGGGCTCACTGCACTGAAATAAATTCTAGATATTAAACTCTGTTACTACCTGAGGTGTCTAGTGTAGAGTTATATGCACACTATATAAGTTAGAACTGTCCAGGGCTCACTGCACTGAAATAAATACTAGATATTGAACTCTGTTACTACCTGAGATGTCTGGTTTAGAGTTATATGTACACTATATAAGTTAGAACTGTACAGGGCTCACTGCACTGAAATAAATACTAGATATTAAACTCTGTTACTACCTGAGGTGTCTGGTGTAGAGTTATATGTACACTATATAAGTTAGAACTGTACAGGGCTCACTGCACTGAATGAGATTTTAAAAGCTTAAACCCAAGTAAAACCCGGTCTTTACATCTGCTCAGACCCAAGTAAAGCTCAAGTGAAGACCCGGGTTTTAGATGACCTTGAGTGTAGTAAAAACCAACCACCTTGGGTTTTTACTCTTTTCAAGGCTCGAGTCTTCAGCAGCTGATGATAGTAAATTTTGAAAAACCTTTTATATTTGTACATTTAAATTCTGGGGAATTATTTGTAGTGTCATATTTGATCAAAAGTTTGAAATAAACAAACTATACAAAAAATGTATCTATGTAAAGTTAGATTTTCAAAATGTACATCTCCTTGTCACAGCTGATCTGCTAGTAATCTGTCTGCTACAGAGAGAAAGCTTTCTAAGCAGGCTCGGCTTGGTCCAATCATAGCCAATCCTGACTTGGGTTCTATCTGAGCCCAACTCTGAGTTTCACTCGGGATTAAGCTTTTTAAATCTCATCTCAGGGTTCACTACATTGAATTGTTATAAATTTTTTACATTAAACTCTGTTACTACTTGAGGTGTCTAATGTCAAGTGTCTTGTGTATAGTGTTTTGCACATTGTATACTATAACTGACTGCTATTTTGGTTCGCAGTGTTATAAAATGTTTGGACAAAAATTTCCCCTTTATCGAGAATTAGAATTAATTTTTTTCCGAGCTTTGGTGAGATATAGAGAAAATTTAAGTCCAAAAACTTTATAACACGTGTTGTCCCATAATAATAGTGTTTAGATAATTTAATGAAACGTTTGTGTACTTGTCTTTTTTCAATGGTCATTTTTAGATCAAATAAGCTTTGAAACAAAAAGCAGAAGTCAAAATATAAAGTTGATTTCAATTTCATTTTCATTTCAATTGAAAAAAAATATTTTGAAAATATCCTACATTTTTTGGAGAAAATCCGGGAACCAATGAAAACTTTATAGCAAACGTGCAATAATGTACAGCTAATTTAACTTTATAGCACGATAATTACTTTATGAAATTCACGATGAAGTGAGTAAGAGAATGATAAAGTACACAGTAGTTTCATAAAACTTTGTTAGTACCTTAGGTGTCTAATGTCTAGTGTTATGTACAATATATACTGTAACTGTCAGTGTCCAGGGTTCTTTACGTTGAATTAAATTGAATACTATACATTAAACCCTTTTGCCACCTAGCTAGGTGTCTAATTTGTAGTGTCTAGTGTCTATTATGATATAAAATATATAGGTGTCTAATTTCTAGTGTCTAGTGTCTAGTATGATGTACAGTATATATATATTATAACTGTCAGTGTCCAGGGTTCACTATACAGAATTAAATTAAATACTTTACATTAAACCCTGTTGCCACCTAGCTAGGTGTCTAATTTGTAGTGTCTAGTGTCTATTATGATATAAAATATATATATTATAACTGCACAGTGTCCAGGGTTCACTATACAGAATTAAATTAAATACTATACATTAAACCCTGTTGCCACCTAGCTAGGTGTCTAATTTCTAGTGTCTAGTGTCTAGTATGATGTACAATATATATATATATATTTATAACTGCACAGTGTCCAGGGTTCACTATACAGAATTAAATTAAATACTATATATTAAACTACTCTTCAACAAATACAAATACTACAAGGTTTAGTTATACAACAACTTTATTCATCAAATAGAAAACTTTTAGGAGGAAACATATTAAACGGATGTTTGAGAGAGGTGGGAGGAGGGGCCACGGGTTTAAGGCATTAGAATCAGATAAAGTTTCAGTTTTAATTTTGATATCATTTTTTTCTCGTAATTGACTTTACAGGAAATGCAAATTTTTAAATTTCACAATGGTCACCAATATATTGTGGAACTGTAGCACAATCAAATATTTTCGTTCATACCGAGGATAAACGAAAACATTGGAATTAAGAAAAATCTTTCTTGTTTTCTGATTTTTATTTTTAAAAATGAAATCATCAAAATTTATACTTCTAAGCAGATTTTAATTTAATTTCATAAGTTGAAATAATGAGAGCAAATTCACAGAAAACACGGAAAGGTGTAAAGACGATATAATAGTCGTCAATTGATTCCATTTTTAATCATTAGGGATAATGTAAATTCATAAATTTTTAGTCTTTAAAACTTAGGATTGTATTATTTGGGGACCACTGTACTTTTTAATGGAAATATTTCAATGAGGAAAAGTTACTATTTGATGCCTTAAACAAATTGAATAAAAAAGTTTTGGTTTCTTCGGTGAAAAAAATTTAAACATTAATTAAAGAAAAATATTAAAAAATTTGAATTTTCAAAATGTCTTCACAAACAAAGTGTCGAATAAAAAATCGTTGCGTAACCAGAGCTGGGAACTTTTGAACGGTGGATATCGGGATTAATGCTAGACCCACTCTTTTTCTTAATCTCGAAATTAAATAACGCTTCTTCTCCTCTTGTTATTAATCTCCAGATTAATTAACCGATCGGGATTAAGGATATTTCATTCTAAAGTGTTCAGCTCAGCATCCATAAGAATGTTAAACGCAATTTAATATATATACGTATATATACGTATCTATAAATCCAGAGGCCGAATTTAAAGAATTTGGGCCGCGGTTTAAATTTAAGCCGCGGCTCAAATATGGTTGGTTCCACTTAAAGGGACTGTAAAGAAAATGAAAGGGGGGTACAGGCTGAAAGCTAATCACTTTAGCTCTTGATCGCGACCCATGAAAGTTTGATCTGATGTTCCTGTCTCGAGAAATTGATATAAAACTGTGTTAAAATTATACGAAAGTTCATAAATGTAAAATGTAGAAAATCTTAAACTTAAATCACGTGACCAGAACTATCACCAATGGCAGAGCAGTAAACTGGTCACCTGTCTCCGCCTGTATCACGTGACCACTTCACTGCACTGCCATTGGTGGCATTTCTGGTCAAGTAATACGGACGTATAAATAATAATATGAATTAAATCTATAAAAAATAGAAATAACAATTATAAAATTAGAATTGGAGTAAACCTANGAACCTATATATACTCCAGTATACTGTGTTTAGAACCTATATATACTCCTGTATACTGTATTTAGAACCTATATATACTCCTGTATACTGTATTTAGAACCAATATATTCTCCTGTATACTGTGTTTAGAACCTATATATACTCCAGTATACTGTGTTTAGAACCTATATACCTGGTGTTTAAGAGCCTCTTGTTTAGTCCTAACTAGACTAAAGTTTTCCCGTTAAAACAATATATAACAGGGAGGGATATATATATAAAGTATACAACAGGGTGTAAATAAACATCATAGGGATCAATAAATCCAGGGCTTCATATGTTTTACCAATAAAGAACTGCTTATTTTCTTTTTAAACTTGTATATGAATTGTTAGCATGGTCTATAAATCAAGATGGATGTTAATCTGATTGCATAAAGTGATATCTAAAGGGACTGTTCACTATCACATAATGTAATGGAGTATGGGTAGAAATCAGCATTATGTGGGTACTATCTGAGACCTCAAAAACTATCGTAGACCCCCTGATATTTAATGATGACACCAATTTTTTTTTATCTGAGACCCCAAGATTTTTTTATTGAATACCACCAAATGTTTATCTTTTTATTGGAGATCTATTATTTATTGCGTCTGTAATGAAGACATGGGGGTCTCCGATGAAAATCTTGGGGTCTCCGATGAACATATTGGGGTTTCCCATGAAAATATTGCGCCTCCAATGAAATTTGGGGATCTATGATGAAAATCTGGTGTCTCTGATGACATTTCAGGGGTCTATGATAAAAAAATCTGTGAGTCTCCAATGGAAAATTGTGTGGGTCTTCGATCATAACCTTGGGGTCTCAAATGAAAATATGGGTACTCCAATGAAGAGCTTAGGGTCTCCGATGAAAAGCTTTGGGTCTTCAATGAAAATTTCAATGAGATGGCCATGAGGGTGTCTCCGATGAAAGGGATCTCCGATAGTATACTCCAATCCCAACGCTGAATTGCATTCCTGATTTTCAACTCAGTACCCGGCCTTGAAATCTTTTACTGAGAACCAAATTCAACATTAGAGCGAAGATTTCATTGTTTTTCAATCCAAAAAAAACCATATAAATTTCCTTTATTGTCTCTTATGCATAAATCCGCAATGAATTCTTTAGATAAAACGACGATAATAAAAATCAATTTTCAGGTATACCCAGAAAATTGATCTTAAATGTTTTTTCATAAAACTAAAAACAGGAATAATTGTTCTCGGCCCAGAAAGTATCTTAACCTAACCTAACCCTAAATAACAAAAAATTAAATAATAATAAATTTGCTGAAAAATAAATGGTCATGTACAAAATTGATAGGAGGGGGGGGTCCAAAAATCGTATACTAGGACAGACCCAATACTTGAAAAGAGGTACTTAGTAATCTGCAGTACACTGACCAAAGATAGCGGAGAGTGAAAAATTGTAGAATTTATTTGTAACACATTCATATTGGTAGAAAAAATAATGCATGTTACAAGAAAGAATATTTTCGCGTTTACTCCCTTTAAAGATGAAATTATTTGTTGCTCAGCGGTGCAGATTCTCCATTCATCCCCCCCCCCTCCCCCCAGTTCAATGTCTTAAATGAAGTTTAAAATCATGAAGAAGAAATGTTTTTGTTTAATTTTGTAAATGGATCTTGTCAGATAATTAGCTACGCTTCTCTTTATGCAAACAACAAAATACATTCTCTAGAGTGAAGAGAGAGGAGGGGGGGGGGGGNGTATATTTATATTGAGGAGATCTGTTGCCGAATTTGAAGAATTTGAGCGGCGGTTTAAATATGGTTGGTTCCACTTAAAATTGTATCAATTGTTTCAAGATTTAAGCCGGCGCTTGATTTAAACCGAGTTTTCGCGGATTTAAACCGTGGCTCAAATTCTTTAAATTCCATCTCGGATTGGATAAAATCTGTATGTACACCCTTTCCGAAAATATCATTGCTGCATATATAGGTTTTTGTAATTTTGACAATAACAATAGGAACTTACGTTCACATGAATACTAAGGTGTGCTTTTTCTTCTTCAAGCAACTACGTTTTTACCCATTATGGTTTAAAGAAATCATTTCTCCAACGTGTGAATGTTTATGGTTAATCCTGATTAAAACTTTACACTGAAAGAATTTTGTCTAAGCTCTGTTGAAAATACATATTTCAAGTTTAAAGTGTTTGTATTCCTGCTTTCCAATATTCTTATCTCTAAAAGTGTATTCAACTTAGTATATAAATATATATAAATATATATTTATGTATATAAATATATATAAATATATACTTATATACTTTATACATTTATCTATATTGTGTACAGAATTTAAATAGTGTTTAATTCTTTAGTTTTAAACATTGTGTTCAAAATCTAAAACACAATGCTTGTGAGAAAAGAATCGTGAGCCGTCTATAATCGTATGTAGTCTTTAAACTTTGATTCAGCATCAGATTTTAATGTTGAACTGAGACTCTTTAACTGCAGGACTAACTTCAAAGAATGATACCTATTTGAAGACCTAAAACTTTGTAAACATTGCGGGGTTAGCATCAATAATCCAGAATTGCCTGGACATTATGTATCATTTTGTATATTGTACATATTTCAAACTATGAATTCTGTTAGATCTAATAATCTAATTTTGAAATACCATTAGGTCGCAAAGATGTAGGGATTAAAAATTTTTAGTTTTTGGCAAAGGCTCATAATTCCTTGAGAGAAAAGAATAATAATATCAACATCTCTTGAAGTCTCATTCTTTCTGAACTAAACTGAAGGTTAAATTCGGTTTAAACATAAAGCCTAAGTTATAATTGCTAAAAAGATGGAGATTGCATAAAAACACAAGAATTTCCAAAATTATGTCGTCTCATCTTTTGCGGGTAATTCTATAAATATGTATATAGATTTATTCAGAGGCGCAACTGGGGGGGGGCGGCCGGCGCGCGCCCTCCCCTAGCACCTAAGAGGTGGGGGCGCGCCCCCCCCCCTGCAGAATGAAAAGAAAGAAAGAATGGCGAAAATCAGTATCACAGGAATAAGAAAACCAATAGAGTTATTGTAGAAATTTTGTTATACTGTAGTTAGTTTTAAAAAGAATATTTTTATCTTTCTCAATTCTCAAGGCTAAAGGCCATTGTAAACATTAAATGTAAAAAAAGATCTGAACTGTATTTTATTTGTGTTGAGTTTATAGAGTACTCGTAGATATCAAACTTTGAATTCTTATGGTAAAATATTCCAAGTTTGAAATATCAAATGTTTACACCACTCGGTGCAAAGATTTAGGGATTAGAATATTTGAGTTTGTGGCAAAAACTCAGTTCCAAATCTAGAGAAAATTCTGAACCTGGCAAATTTCTAACTGATTATCATATTTGATAACTAACAAGATTTATCTTCTCTGACAGAAGTTCTGTAAAATCGAAAATGAATTTAGATTATGAATGTTGGTTAGATCAATAATTAATTCAATAACTTCAAGAGAAAAGGTAACATTATCTGTCCTTTTTCAATGTAGATGATTGAAATTATTATTTACCTATGTATTTTTATGTTTTTTTTCCAGAAACTATAAATGATTATTTCTTGCAATTTAATCTGTAATTAAACCAGGTACTTAAAAAATACTCTTTTGCGATTCGCATACATATTCAATGAATTGACTCATATCATTCATTTTACAGCTGTTGGAAGCATAAATTTTGTAAAAACACAAGAACAAAAAAATCGATTTGAATTGAACACATCCAAATCTGCATGCAACAACTTAAAATTTCCTTTTTTTCGACTTCAAACCCTTAAAAAAGCACTTTTGTTTTTGAAAAATTTTCGAAAAAGGGGGGAAACCCCCCCTTAACCCCCCCCCTAGCAACAGTCCTAGTTGCGCCTCTGGTTTTATTTATTATATATGGTGTATGTATACAAATTTAGGGCTTTTTGAAATTTTGAAAACTATCATAAAACGATCGTTTATCTTTTCGTTTTAGATCGTTTTCAAAAACGGTACGGTTTTTATAAAAACGTTAAGGGACCGTTTTTTATACGATTGTATTTTATAAAAACAATAACGGACCGAGTTTTATACGATGGTTTTTTAATAAAAAACGATCGTTCTTTAAAAATCTATTGTTTAAAAAAAATTGTCATTGATAAATATGAGTTTCTTTATGAAAAAGTTATGAATGTCGTCTTACCTACAATTTTATCGAATGTCGTTTTACATGCAGGTTTATAAAAACATAAATCGTTTTACGTTTTAAAATTTATTGTTTAGTTTTCGTTTTTCGTCGTTTTTTTAATGACATAAGGATAGTTTTTCAAAAAAATTTAAAACGATCCATCCCTTTCTACAATGGCCTTTTTCTATTAGATACGAATCATACAGAAGTGATAAGGCCTGTAGACACTACAGTGCAGGTCTATAGATCTATACCCTAAGAACTCAAGCTAGGTCCAAGATATTCACATTAGTGGTAAACCGGTTTTTTTCTTTTCTTCAATCATCGTGAAATGAAAAGTTATTCAACATTTTTATTTAAAAAAAGTTTTACCATTATTAGTTTGTATCGGAAGATTACATTTTTTTATGTTTTAAATCATAACTCCTCTCATTGAAGAGCTTTTGAGAAAAACCAATTTGTGCATTAATTAAAATCTAAGGTCACAAACTCGCACCAGTGATGTCGCTTTAAGCTAGAGTAAGAAAACAGGTCGTTAATTCTGATAATAGAGAGCTAATAAAAGTTGAACAACAAAATATTTCAAAAATATTATTACACACATTTGACTAAAAGTGTAAACTAATGTGCATTGTGCACGCCAGATCAGGGGAACAAGAGAGTATAAGCGGATTGTTCGCCCTGAGCTGGGAACTTTAGAATGGTGGATATCAAGATCAATGCTTGATCCTCTCTTTTTCTTAATCTCGAGACTAACCTAATCTTGTGCTTGTATTCCTGAAATGTGTATAAAATTCAACCAATCAGAGTCGGGAATCAGAAGCCAGGAAATTTGAAATTTTGCGCGCCATTTAAGATTAATATACAGAAACGGGACTCTCTAATTTTGAAAAACCGGTTTTTGGTTTTTCTGTAATATATCCAAAAAAGAGTGGATTAAGCAAGAAACTAAGTGTCCACATTGGATATTCGGATTAAGCAGTCGGGATTAAAGGTATCTCATTCTAAAGTTCCCAACTCTGGACTAACTATTTGTAATCAAATCGCGTGTTGGTCTAACATTCGATCAGCGTTAGAGTTACTTTTTTCATTAAAAACAAATCTGCCGAAAAGATTAGGATTAAAGTCACATCTGATTGTGGCGAGACAAGGCTATAATTTCAACACTTCAAAGTCGACCCGGTCTGAACATTGATGCATAACTTCTTAAGTTTTTTGGCATCTTCTGTAATGTGTAATATATTAATCCTAGGATAAAAAACTTCAATTATTCTTAAAATCAAACCATGCAAACCTTGATCAGTATAAATCTAGGTTACACAAGAATTTAAAATGTTCAAAAAGTGATGTACTGACACAAAATGTTCAGGGATCTAAATTACAATAAAATTCTGAAATAATCCTGAAATCTTTCTTTTTAAATAATACAATTGATTTTCGAGATCTTTGACGCATTTTAATCTACAAATAGATATTCAATCATTGTATTTCGCGCCGATCGACGACTTACAGATCAACATGAAGGACGGGGATTAAGTCTCTGAGGTTCAAAGGTACAAAACGGTTGAAGTAAAACTTTATTCATCTTCGGATGTTCATACACTGAAATAATTCATAATTAGAAAAATACAATTAAATTACAATACAATACAAGTTGAAAGAAGTAAATACCAAATGACGCTCAGGAGTACAATTATATCCTCCATGTACTGATATACTGGGTGCTATGACAAACTCCTGAAAGACAAACTCCTGAATTAAAGACAAACTCCTGAAAGAAAAAATCCTGAAAGACAAACTCCTGACAAGACAAACTCCTGACAAGACAAACTCCTGAAAATACAAACTCCTGAAAGACAAACTTCTGAAATTATGAAATTTTTCTCTGAATGAAATATGATAAAATTCATAAACTTTAGGAGAAAAAATCCGCAAATATCCTAGAAAAATTCTCAATCTTTAGTAATTTGAATATGCTTCAAGCAGCAAAGTATTTTAATGATCAGAATAACCAGCAAATTTATTATTATTTATTTTTTATTATTTAGGGTTAGGTTAGGTTAAGACACTTTCTGGGCCGAGCGCTGCGGCTAGGACAGGCTAGGGGGGGCCGAGCGCTGCGGCTAGGACATGCTAGGGGGCCGAGCGCTGCAGCCATGGGTTAGGTTAGTTAAGACACTTTCTGGGCCGAGCGCTGCGGCTAGGACAAGCTAGGCGGCCGAGCGCTGCGGCCATGGGTTAGGTTAAGTTATGACACTTTCTGGGCCTCGAGCGCTGCGGCTAGATTAAATATAAATTGTGAAACATTTTTTTAAAATTGATATTATGGAGTTTGTATTTTAGAAGTTTTTATTTTCAGGAGTTTGTCTCGTCAGGAGTTTGTCTCGTCAGGAGTTTGTCTTTCAGGAGTTTGTCTTTTCAGGAGTTTGTCTTTCAGGAGTTTGTCTTTTCAGGAGTTTGTCTTTCAGGAGTTTGATTTTCAGGAGTTTGTCTTTCAGTAGTCTGTCATGGCGCCGATCTTCAGTAGAAACTGACAACTATTCACACTCAGTGTTAATTGTAAACAAAACCGGATTATAACATACAGAAAATCAAGGGATTAGGGTTGTTTAAAGTTTTACAATTAATTTACCATTATAACACCGACATACCCGGTGTTTACAGAATTTAAAGTTTTACAATTAATTCATTAAAGGAAATGGGACTTCGGTGTTTTACAACTAATTTATTAAACCATGCTAGATCGCGAATCGCGATACAAAAGCGAAACACATTGAGCAAATCCCATCCAAGACCACCACTCTCATTAGGCCAGTAATGAAGATAGAACAAAGGATTTGCCTGGGACATGTCATAATGTGTTTTAAGTTGATACTCAGTTTGGATTTTGCAAATTCTTGTCAGTTTCCAACTAAAAGTTAGATTTTAAACTTTTTGAATATTTAACTTCAGCAATTAGCATAGAAGATCCCACATATTCCTATCCTTTGAGCAGGAGCACCGAGGGACCGAATTTAATAAGTTTGAGCTACGTTGCTGAAATACCTACTGTCAGATCAAATTTGAACCACCGATTCATAGCAAAAGAAGGATTTGAATCGGTGATTCAAATTTGAACCGGCGCGAGTTTGAATTAATTAAATTCAGTCCAAGAACATTTATTCAGAGAAATAGGTTTAAATCTTACGATGAACATTCAGATACAATGATTAATACAGCTGGTGTCCAAGGGAAGTTACTTTTCAAATCATTCTTCTTTTCCAGTTATTGTAGAAATCTACTTGAAACAGCCAATATCTAAAATCCTTTGTTTTGGGATTTTCAAAATGTGGTTAGCCATTTTTACCTTCGAAATTGACCGCTAAAATAAGGAATTTCGATTTTTAAAATAAATTAAAAAATATATAAGGACCTTCACTTTAAACATACATAAATAAGCCACGTTTTTTAAAGCATATTTTTTTTATTTACTACTCAAAGCCATTTCTTGTTATTAGAAATTAAACTTTATAGAAAGATTGCAATTTTTAAAAAAAATTCAGACGCGTTTTGTGGAAGCTCTCTCTAAATCTGACCATGTTGGAGAAGCTGAAATGGGCATTTTTCACATGTTTCAATTTATCTGTGCATAAAGCATCATAACCTACAAATCAAGCGATTTATTTGATATTGAATTTTCTTCCTGGATTTAAGATTTATTATTCAATGTGAATAAATTAATAGTTTGTCATGTAATAATTTGATTTTTTGTTCAATTTGATCATTTCAAATACCTGATATAAGAGTAATAAATATATAAATTCTATAAAACGTGAATTATTTAAATTTTTTCAGGTAAAATGTTTGTAGAACTAGGAATGACTATTGGTGGGATGATGATCGGTATTCCTGTTCTTTTTTCTTTGATATTAAGGTTAATGTTTAAATTTACACATTTTTGAGAAATGTAATATTGTAGCAGCTATGTGTATTTGATACATTTGTAATGAGATTTGAAAACTCAATAAGAAGATTTTTTTCTCTTGATTTTAATCATTTCTCACTTTTTATATGCGCGCATCAAAAATGGCGGAAAATTGTTATACAAGTTTGCTGTTCCTGAATTTAAAGAAGTTAAACTGCCAAAAATCGGTTCCAATTGAGCGCCGGCTCAAATCTTGGAACAATGAATACAATTTCAAGTTGAACCAACCATGTTTGAGCCGCGTCTTACATTGAGACAAGACGCTGTTCAAATTTTTAAATTCGGCCTCTGGTAAAACATTTTAGTAATCTGTCTTAAATTCAGTTTTTTGCTTAACTAAAAAAGTCTTACGAGATGTTTTTGAGAAGTAATAACATATAGATTCAGCCTGCCTATCATAAGACACGGTCGATTTTTTGAAGTGTCGCAACGCCTTGTGCTTTATTTTACCGCTCAAACTCACTTATATCTTTATATAGCCCTTTTCATATAAATTTACATACATGTTAGCTTCAGTTTTAAAAAAAGAAATTGGCAAAATTATCATCGATTTTTGCTCGACAGCTTGAAACCTTTAAATCACATATTTGATAACTTTATAAAATCAATAATTACATAGATATGAGACAAATAAGATAAAACTAATATTTCCCTTGACTACAGGTTTCTGGTTACTGGATTCAAGATGTTTCAGGCAAACTTTATAAACTTTATTAATTTGCATAATTTATATATTCTAAAACTATAGAAATCTAGAACTGTTGACAAAACATTAATTAAGTTTGAAACCCAACCTATAGAACTTTTTAATATTTAGATAAAGCCCCGCTCAACCGTGCCAAAAGCACTGATGGATAAAACATTAGGGCAACACAAGGTAATATTTTCACGTCAAATTTAAGTAAATATTACGTTAAACTAGATTTTTACAGATTTTCAAGCAAAACTTGATTCTCTTAAAGGGAGTGTTCGCAAAAAATAAATGGGGTATAGGTATACGGCGAAAAATAAGCGCTTTTGATCGCTACTAATCTTACTTCTGTCTGTTGCGTCTAAAAGGAGAAAATTGTTAAAAACGATTTGTACCGAATAACGTAGCATCCACCCAAATTGAGAATTTTTTTTTCGCGAACACTCTCTTTAATAAAGGATTGTTTGTTTTGGATGACAACCATTTTTTTATATCTTTTTTTAAAGTGTTTTCAAAACCATAGCAACGCTGGGTACTCCATCAAATTCCTAATTTTAACTTTATAAATTTTCTTTTCTTTTTTGTAAAATCAACACTAGAACTAAGAACTGAGAGGTTACAAAGTAGTATCAGAAATACTGATTATTTGCTTACCGTCTCCTTTTGTCTAACGTGTTACGTGTTTTTCAATAGGATTATACATTTTCCGTCATTTGTCTAGTTTTTTCTTTTATTTTGAAATTGGAGTTTACAATGTTTCTTTTGGTTAAGTAGGTAAACATTTAGGATTCTCCATTCATGTTTTAAAATTTATTGACATCATTATAGCTTGTATTAAGATAAAAGGAGTATTTTCTTGGTTATGTCTCCAGTAAAAAAGGAGAACCAACTGTGGAGTATTTTTTTATATAATATAAAGTCTATGTAGTCTAGTTTGTTCAGTTAATTTATAGAGAGAGTAACTATTACTTTTATTGAGAAATTATATCCCATGATTTTATACTTCTAAAAGAAGTCACATTTTGATCTACACATTTGTGCAGATCACATATTGATCTTCACATTTGTGCAGATCACATATTGATCTACACATTTGTGCATATCACATGTTGATCTTCATATTTGTGCAGATCACATGTTGATCTTCATATTTGTGCATATCACATGTTGATCTTCATATTTGTGCATATCGCATATTGATCTTCACATTTGTGGAGATCACATATTGATCTTCATATTTGTGCATATCACATGTTGATCTTCATATTTGTGCAGAACAAATATTGATCGATACATTTGTGCTGATCACATGTTGATCTTCATATTTGTGCAGATCAAATATTTATCTATACATTTGTGCTGATCACATGTTGATCTTCATATTTGTGAAGATTAAATATTGATCTATACATTTGTGCTGATCACATGTTGATCTTCATATTTGTGCAGATTAAATATTGATCTACACATTTTTGGAGATCACATGTTGATCTTCACATTTGTGCAGATCACATATTGATCTTCACATTTGTGCAGATCACATATTGATCTTTACATTTGTGAAGATCACATATTGATCTTCACATTTGTGCAGATCACATATTGATCTACACAAATAAAATATCTGAAATAGAAATCTACCATATGTAACAACGTATATCGTTGAAATGATATCACAATATAAACTGTATATGTATTATGATGAAAACCAGTAAGTTATAAAAAAAATTGTGAACCATTTACACAAAATATGGTAAAATAAATATTTGGTTTTAAAGAAAGAGGAAGGAATTGAGTCTTCGTCACAAACTATATTTTCTAATCACTATATCTTTGCGACCCAATGTCGTAGACCTTGGAGATTTCAAACTATGAATTATGTTAGATGAAAGCATCTAAGTTTGAAATATCAAAGGTTTGCACCATCAGGGGGAAAAATATAGGTATTAGAAAATCTGAGTTTGTTGAAAATACTCAATTCCTTAGGAGCAGTTTTAGTTCCAAGATTGGGAGTACCCAAAAAGGAGTTATGTCGATGTTTAGTTTGTATCTGTGAATGGAGTACAACTCCACTATGTTGAATCTGGAGATGAGAATAAACCCCTTATTCTGTTTGTTCATGGATTTCCTGAATTCTGGTTTTCATGGAGGCATCAGATTAAATACTTTAATAAGGTGTTTATTTTTATAAAAAATATATAAAAGCTTTTTTTTTGAAGATCTCCTTATATAATGTTTGTTCTACGGTGAGAGCTCATAAACTGTGGAAGAGGAAGACGACTATAAGACTCAATAAACACAAAAAAACATTCCAAATAATAACTAGATGTTTAAGTTTCTAATCATACTTTTTATTTTCGAAGAACATTAGATTAAATCAGAGGTGATGATAGTTCTCTACCTGTGTGCTCAGTTAGCTGTACTGTACACTTACAACTGTTTACTAATATTGATATACTATAGGTTAGGCCAGAATCAACTTATAATAAACAAAAATGCAGTACGCTCTCGGTATAGTTTATGGACTGTAAAATTAGTAAAGGATTAGCGTACATCATCACTCTATACACTATAATCTCGTTGGATTAAATACATATAAGATTGCTTAAATATCGTTATCATAATTCACAACTTTATGGGCCTCCCAGTAATAAAACTCATGAGTAATTATTCAGGTTTGGTTTCAACTGCAGTTGTTTGTAGGATAATAAGATAAGTAAATGTTTAGAATTACCATGTTGTTGCCTTTGATATGCGAGGATATGGAGAATCCTCTAAACCTGAAGGAATATCCAACTATCAACTAGAACATTTAGTTGAGGATATCAAGGCTCTTGTCACCGAACTAGGATATAAAAGGTTAGATCAACTAACTATCCAACTATCAACAAGAATATTTAGTTGAGGATATCGGGGCTCTTGTCACCCAACTAGAATATAAAAGGTAGATCAACTTAATATCCAACTATCAACTAGAATATTTAGTTGAGGATATCAGAGCTCTTGTCACCGAACTAGGATATAAAAGGTTAGATTAACTAAATATCCAACTATCAACAAGAATATTTAGTTGAGGATATCAGAACTCTTGTCACCGAACTAGGATATAAAAGGTAGATCAATTAAATATCCAACTATCAACTAGAATATTTAGTTGAGGATATCATGGCTCTTGTCATCGAACTAGGATATGAAAGGTTAGATTAACTAAATATCCAACTGTCAACTAGAATATTTAGTTGAGGATATCAGAGCTCTTGTCACCGAACTAGGATATAAAAGGTAGATCAACTAAATATCCAACTTATGCAGTATTTGTGAAAGATTTTTTTATTCCAATGTCTCCTGATCATGCCTAGAGTTATTTAAGTTAGAATAATTACAAATAATGATATAATAATATATAATCACAAATACGGCATGTATTTCCCTGTGTTTTGATTACTACATTATAAAATAAAATTTTACAAATAATTTTAACACCTTGTGTTACAAAACATTCCTCGAATATAATCACATAAAAAGAAATGAATAAATAAACAGTATTATAATAAAGGTTTCATCTGGTAGCACATGACTGGGGCGGTGGAGTAGCTTGGGCGTTTACAGGACTTCATCCTGATATGGTACAGGTAGGGTTTACAGGACTTCATCCTGATATGGTGCAGGTAGGGTTTACAGGACTTCATCCTGATATGGTACAGGTAGGGTTTACAGGACTTCATCCTGATATGGTACAGTTAGGGTTTACAGGACTTCATCCTGATATGGTACAGGTAGGGTTTACAGGACTTCATCCTGATATGGTACAGGTAGGGTTTACAGGACTTCATCCTGATATGGTACAGGTAGGGTTTACAGGACTTCATCCTGATATGGTGCAGGTAGGGTTTACAGGACTTCATCCTGATATGGTACAGGTAGGGTTTACAGGACTTCATCCAGATATGGTACAGGTAGGGTTTACAGGACTTCATCCTGATATGGTGCAGGTAGGGTTTACAGGACTTCATCCTGATATGGTGCAGGTAGGGTTTACAGGACTTCATCCTGATATGGTGCAGGTAGGTTTTACAGGACTTCATCCTGATATGGTACATAGGGTTTACAGGACTTCATCCTGATATGGTACAGGTAGGGTTTACAGGACTTCATCCCGATATGGTACAGGTAGGGTTTACATATGTTTTTGAAAAGGGCACATTTCAGAAATTATTCTAAACTATATTCCCTTCAGTATATTTTTAATGATTTAGAATTATAAGCACATAATCATGATTGGGACATTCGAGGGAGTAATTTGTTCCAATCACAATTTTGCAACTTATAGTTTTAGTAGAAGAACACATTTTTCCAGTTTTTAAATTTTATATTATAATTTCTGGCATTTTATGACCCTTCAGATATGGTTTAAAGATATAAAGTTAAAGCTGAAGTTCATTTATATTACGGTAAAATAAAAATTATTTATGGATTAAACATTTATTCTTGATTAACTCCTGATTTCTAAATGAATAGATTGTTAGAAGATAGTCTTGTGAAGATATCCTGTATTGAACTAAATCAAAGCAATAATTGAATAGATTCACTTCAAGTTCATTGAAGATATTCCATCTGAAATAGGGAACAGAGAAATAGGAATTAACAACCCTTATAAATTCTAGAATATTTCGAAAAAGGAACAAAACAAATTCTTTTTTAAACAAAAACTTATTTTTCATTTAATAGTACGGTTAAGGAAAGGAATTTGAGTCTTAATTTGCCACAAACTCAAATATTTTAATCCCAATATCTTTGCAACCTGAAGGTGTATACCTTTGATATTTCAAACTTAGAATTTTAGATCTAACAGAATTCATAGTTTGAAATATCTAAAGTATACGACGTTATGTTGCAAAGATATAGGGATTAGAAAACTAGAGTTTGTGACAAAGACTCAATTCCTTTCAGTACAGTGCTGATGAGTGGGTGAAGCAATACTTCTTCTATATTATATATTACATAAAGAGATATTTTAATTGATTACTGTCCTGTTTTGCCGTCTTAGTCTGTCATCAGAATGTACAAGCTGTACAGATTGCTTTATAGCTGCATGACATAAAGCCGGTTCGGTACTTCAAATGACGCATATTTTCCAGTGGTGCCGGGCACATGTATTTTGAATTTTAGACCTACACAGCCTGTAATATACCTCATAACCTGGCGCTGGTTGACCAGCTCAGAGGATCCTGGGAGCAAACCTTCAAATCTTGGTATATGCTCTTCTTCCAGGTATTCCAGAAGTTCATCACTGCAAACTTGACACAAGGAGAAAGTCAAACAATGTGAGATTATTGATACAACTTTACGACCGCGGAGCTCCTTTAATTTTGATTTTAAGCATATGAATAGAAAATGCAAAGGAACAAAGTCTTTGGCGCCATAAACTCTGACTTTGTAGCCGCTATATCTATAACCTAATCCCGTAGCTATATTTGAAATATCTTAGATGGTATGCACGAATAGATTAATGTAAAGAAACATGGATTTCACTATTCTCCTAGTTTTACGGATAAAGATAACCAGCATAAAAATGTGCAAAAAAATAAAAAAAATTGTGGTTGCAATTCTTATAATGTTTCCTTTCAAATATAATTAATGCTATGATAAACATATTTCACTGAATCCTGTCACAAATGGATTCTTAACTTTTATACTAAACATTGTATGGAGTTATATATATATATATACTCTTTATTGTTGTTCTATAAAGAAAGTGTAAAAATAGTCTTTTTATAACATTTTGATTTTATTTTTCTGCCTCTTTTCGTATTATCAAGATCGTTCTAAATAATGATACTTGATTCTAAGCTATTTTTATTATCTGTCATTCCAGGGTTTTCATAATATGTTTTAATTGTTATGATCTGAGAGTTACTTATAAAAACATTTATTCCTGTTTCGAGGATTTTTGGTAATGAAGACGACATTTTCATATTTTCCAGGAATGTTCGGAAACAAGTTGTCAGCTAAATATTATTTTAAAAAACAAAATCAAAACTAGTATGAAATATCAAATATATACAAATGTGGCGAAAAATAATCGATGACTATAAGTTGTAATATCTGAATGACTTGTTTGAAATTAAATTTATTTTTTTTGCGGTCTAAGTCGTATGTTGCAATTTTCTCAATTTGTATGGACGCCATGCTATTCGGTATGAGACGACTTTAACAATTTTCTCCTTATAGACGCAACAGATAGAAGTAAGATTAGTAGCGATTAAAAGCGCTTTTTTATCGCAGTAAGCCTATACCCCCTTACATTTTTCGCGAACACTCCCTTTTAAGTTCTACGCCATATTCACCCTTTGATGATTTTAATCATATAATATAAAATAGATACACGTAACAAACATATATTTAGGAAGTTTTCACATTTTCTTATAATTTACAACCAAACTAAACACATATAAAACAGACTGTGGTAAAAAAGCACAACTAAACATGAGGCGGATTTAGTTTTATGAGATTTACTACAAAGCCTATTTTAGATTTTTGAAAATAATCAAACCTCGTTTAGAAATTGAGAAATTTCTACTAGCCAACGTCTGAAACAACTTCTATCAAAACTTTTTAAAAACAGTAAAATGACGTTACTTTAGTAACTATATGATTATTACAGAATGTTTAAAACTTTCAGTGTCCTGTTATCCCTGAGTTGAATTTTTTGAGCTCCGACATGACGTTCTTTTATGGACTCCTTCGTGATGCAGGATTACATAAAGGTTGATCTCATTTCATTTATCATGTGTAGGATAATACAGTGATACCCATAAAACTGTGGAATAGGAAGACACCCTTTAAGCAACATGTATTGTTCTTTCAAAGAAGTTTTACCAAATTATGCTTAAATTGAATTTGGTTTGTGTACAAAATTTCTCGGTTTTTGGCACAGATGAATTGCATCTAACATTTGTCATCTTTTTGCACAATTTTATTGGTCGCCCTGTTACTAACCTATTCTATTAATTCTTATCCTGACAATCTAAATAGTATTAGGAATCATATATTCAAAGATAAGACTGCTGCATAGGTATTTTCCAAAGACATTTTCTCAAGAGTGTCTTCCCAAATGATAATTTCCCAAAAGGCAACTTCCCAAAGGTTAGATTAGACCTCCTGATGTGCAACATGATGTAATGAGGCGGGGGGGGGTCGAGTGCTGCGGCTTTGATGAGATAGGGCGCAGAGCGCTGCGACAAGAACAGGCTAGGGGACCGAGCGCTGCATCTTAGGACTTCATCGGGAAGTTGCCGCTTCGGAAAATGCCTTTGGGGAAAGTACACAGTTATGGTGTTAATAAAGTCCAAGGAAGATACAACAGGAAACACGTGTTTTGTACTCTGTACTTTTTTGTGAAAAACACTTTTAAGCTGGAATTTATCGTTCTATATAGCATCAGCTTTTGAAAAACAAACAAAACCAAATTTGTGAATGAATTTAAAGGGACCGGACTGTAAGTATAAAGCCACAACAGTACCCTTAAAACCTTAATCTGATCAATAATGTGGAAGATATTGTCGTTTTTGTCAGGTTCAAAAGTGTACATTCTGATATTTCAGAATGTTTTTATTCAGTTTATGATCGCGCAAGCCACTTTTGTAGAGAAACCCACAATTGAAAACAATATTTTTTTCAAAATTATAAATATTGATATATAATTCATAATTGATCAAACAAAGCTTTTTAAGGGTAATTTGGTGAACCGGACATGGATGGTCTTTTCAAATTACGCTTACAGTCCCTTTAAGTCTTTTTTGTTTCTCTTTAGATGAAGAACTAGTTGAGGCATACAAGTTTGCCTTCAATGACTTTAAAACTTGGAACAGGTAAAAATTAGAATTGTTAATTTGGAAAAAAAATACAAAATATTTATTTTAGGACAATAAACTACTACCGAGCTTCAGCTAGGCCGGGTAGTCAAGCGAGGAAGAATATATATCGTCAGATGAAAAATATTGAGGTAATATTATAAAATTTTAAATGGAAGTTTTAAGAAAGAATTAAAGAGAGAAGGAAGATAGGGATTATGGATTTTAAAACAATGATGACAGAAAATCACTATGTTATAAAAACAACGAGAACAAATAAATCAGAACTTAATGAGCATTTGGGGAAAAAATTTAAATGTTTATTTCTAAAATACATTATTTGATATAAAAAAACGAAAAACTGATAAATAAAGTAATTGGTTTGACAGATTTGACAAGAAACAACGTCCAGAGAAATGTAAAAATCATATTTAATGGGGAATAATGGGGGAAAACACAGGTTTCTCCCCCTATGCTCAAATCTCTGAACGATCCCTTTTTAGACAATAAAACTAGAGGTATAGTTTTAGATGAAATAAATAATGACATTTCATGAAGAAAGAAATGAGTTATTACTTGCAATATATCACATCAATTTCTATTCTTTAAAACGTAAAATAAAATAGAAATACTATTTTCAAACCTTTGTATTTGAATTCACATTTTTATTTTGTTGAATAATTTGAGGTTCCTGTTCTTCAAATATTTGGAACTGGAGATAAATATTTATCAGTTGGTGCTGCACAGGCTTCAGCTAAGTAAGTTGACTTTTTATATCTTAAAGGGACTGTCAACGTAATTTAATATCTTAAAGGGACTGTCAACGTAATTTTATATCTTAAAGGGACTGTCAACGTAATTTAATATCTTAAAGGGACTGTCAACGTAATTTAATATCTTAAAGGGACTGTCAACGTAATTTTATATCTTAAAGGGACTGTCAACGTAATTTAATATCTTAAAGGGACTGTCAACGTAATTTAATATCTTAAAGGGACTGTCAACGTAATTTTATATCTTAAAGGGACTGTCAACGTAATTTCAAGTGAGCATCTATTTAAAGAGTTGCATAATTACCATATTAAACCTTTATCTGAACATAATTATGCCCAAGATATTTTTTTTTGTTTTACTACATAAATATTTAATAATTTTTATGTTTTTTTCTGTGAAAGTCTCTAGCAGATATATGCAACAGAGACAGAATTTACAGAATTTAAATGCTTTAAGATAGAAAAGCAACGATATCTTTCTCATTGTTGCTCTGATAAAGGCGTTAAGTGTACCGTAGTGCATCAGGCATTACAGTTTTGTGTTGGGGGGAGGTGCAGGGCAAATGTTGTGGTGACTGCAGTCCCTTTTATTTTGCAAAAATTAATTCTAAAATTGTTTCTATGAATAATCTATTATAACTAGAGTTGAAATATAAAACTTCTAACTTTCTAAGAATTAAACTATTTCTCTTTTTATATTTTAAATTCCAATTTGTAAGTTTTTAACTTATTTTAGTTTTATTTTATAAATATAAACTTGTACCCAGGAAACATTTCTTTTCCAACTAATAAGTCAGATTTAGTCATAAATACCTTACATTAGAAATCTATCATTGGAAGCTTCATATTACTTTTGATAATAAGTACCATACAGACCATGAAATTTATTTATTTTTACAATTACCAAGATATTGATAAAATAACGTAAAACCCGTTGAAAAATGTGAAGACGACATTTTTAGGATTTTTTTAATATTTCCTAAGTTTCTGTTTAACTTATTGTAAATTGAAATTCAATTAATGACTAAGATTCGGAAATTTTTTTCAACATCCCGAAAAATAAGGACAGAATGGTGAAAAAACTCAAGGCAGGGGGGGGGATGTTCACTTATCAGAAAGTGTTAAAACCTCTCAGAAAACTTTTTTAAAGCATATTCTTATTTATTTCTTCAGGTTTTGTACAAACTTGACAACTGAGCTTCTACCTGGAGTCTCTCATTGGGTTCAGCAGCAGGAACCTGAGAGGGTCAACTCACTTATCAATCAGTTCATTACTAAGCACTCCTAGTTAACAATCAACTCATTAATCAGTTCATTACCAAGCTCTCCTAGTTAACAATCAACTCATTAATCAGTTTATTACCAAGCACACCTAGTTAACAATCATCATTACAAAATTTCGCGAAATTACGTTGGAGAAATTTAGGGTTTCCAGTCGTAATTACGTTACGCGTAATTACGCGTAATTACACGTAACACTTTCTGTCACTTACGCAGGAGCATTACCCGTAAATTTGAGAAAGTAGGTTAAAATATTAACAAGTTGTTGAAAATTGAAAATTTAAGGATTATGTATTTTTTTGATAAAAATATATTGTTGGCCCTTTGTTAAACTTTTTAGTACATCAACATAGTATTGGCTGAAATTGCTGATTTAACTTGAGTGACACTGTTTTCCTTGTAAGTTAGTTCTTTTATTTAAATTAAAAATTAAAACTTCAAAATTTCATAGATGTAATTATTGCAAAATTTCGCAAAATTACGTTGTAGAAATTACGCGAAATTACGGCGTAATTACGCGTAATTAATACAAAATTTCGCAAAATTACCTCGTAGAAATTACGCGTAATTATAGTTTCGCTTATTATGCGTAATCATTACAAAATTTCGCGAAATTACGTTGGAGAAATTACGCGAAATTACGCCGTAATTTCGCGAAATGGATATTTCTCCAATTACGCGAAATCCTGCGAAATTACACGAAATGAAAATTATTACGCGTGATTGCGCGTAATTACGCGTATTTGAATAATCTGTTACGTTGGAAACCCTAGTCAATCAATTCATTAATCAGTTCATTACCAAGTACTCCTAGTTAACAATCAACTCATTAATCAGTTCATTACCAAGCACTCCTAGTTAACAATCAACTCATTAATTAGTTCATTACCAAGAACTCCTAGTTAACAATCAACTCATTAATCAGTTCATTACCAAGCACTCCTAGTTAACAATCAACTAATTAATCAGTTCATTACCAAGCTCTCCTAGTTAACAATCAATTCATTAATCTGTTCATTACCAAGCTCTCCTGGTTAATAATCAACTCATTAATCAGTTCATTACCAAGCACTCCTAGTTAACAATCAACTCATTAATCAGTTCATTACCAAGCACTCCTAGTTAACAAACAGCTCATTAATTAGTTTTTCATCAATCACTTTTAGTGTTTGGCTAAAAATTGTATTGTATTTGGTGATTTGAATAAACAAAAAACTATAATTCTTTATTAATATTAATTTAAAATTTCTCTAAAGTCAGAACCAGAAAACTGTGGAATTGTAAAACAACATTGAAGCAAGTACGTTATCAAGAGCCTGAATTAAAAATGCTTAAAAATTAAAAATTTTAAAAATGCCATAGGTAAATTTATAATAGTATTTTAAACAAAATTGGTTTCATAAATCAGAAATGTTTGTGAACAGGAAATAAACATTAATTCTCCAATAAATGAAAAAAAACTGAAACCTTTTAAAAATCACAGTAATTCACGAACACAATTCAACAAATTGAAAAAAAACCTTACATCTAAAGAAAACAAGGTTTACATCTAAAGAAAACAAGGTTTACATCTAAAGAAAACAAGGTTTATACATCTAAAGAAAAAAAGGTTTACATCTAAAGAAAACAAGGTTTACATCTAAAGAAAAAAAGGTTTACATCTACAGAAAACAAGGTTTACATCTAAAGAAAACAAGGTTTACATCTAAAGAATTAAGGTTTACATCTAAAGAAAGCAAGGTTTACATCTAAAACTCGCATTAATATAGCACACAACCTGCTCTGTAGCTAATAACTTATATGTACAAATTTAACATTCATCTTGTTGCAACAAGAATTCGTATTGGTAGGAGAACACATGATTTTCCAGTATTTCTGATGTCAAGGATATACAAGAATAATACAAATTTTGCGCATCATTGCGCTAAACTTACGGCATGTGCATTTTTAGCTGTGCATTTTTTCATAGGCTTGTTTTTTGATAATTAACTTTAAAATATATTTGCTTAAAAATCAAAAATAAACGAATGTATGGAAGTAAAAGCTTTTCAAAATGGAACTGGGATTAAATTGGATTTAAAGGGATTATAAAGGGAGGGTTTACATAACTCCGTGTATTGTTTGTGCGAGCATCAATACTATCTATATACAATATACATCTATATTTAAAGGGATTATAAAGGGAGGGTTTACATAACTCCGTATATTATTTGCGCGAGCATATATAGGATTTCTCTTTACACATTTGCTTTTATATAATTGACCTAATAATAAGAAAAAATATTGAGGAAAAAATTAGAAAAACCATGGTTCTAAAAAATATGTTTCTAAACATTGAAAAACATTAAATATTTAACTTTTTATCTTTTATCCTGTCTCTTTGTATCCAATAAACGTCAAATTATAAAATCTTCGTCTATATTTAAGCTAATAGATTTTCTTAAAGTTAAAAACATTTGAAGGGAAGCAGGAATAAACTTTAAAAGGAAACAGGAATAACATTTGAAGGGGAACAGGAATTTTATGTAAACCAAAAACAGGTTTTAGATCTAAACAAAAACATCTTGAGGAAACACGATTTACATATTAACCCTATTTAGTCTGACGTCTGGTTTACTGACTGGCTTCCTAGGGGGGGGGGGGGTAAAATTCCCCCCTCCTCTATTTTCTTATTGTTATATAAGCTTACAACATTTGATACGTTTTAAGAAAGCACTTGAGCTCTACCTCAATAATCTGCCAAATAATGGCAAATTTGCAAAAATCCAAAAAGATCATTGCGCGAATTGAAACAAATTATACTTTTTGAAAAGCCTTTGGCCCAGAAAATTCAAATCTGCAAAAAAGTTTGCTAAATTTTTAAAAACCTAAATGTGTATTCAAGAAAAACTGAAAAGTGCCAATTTATGCAAAATTTCTTTGCAAAAATTGAAATCCAATGACTGACAGTAGGTTTAAATATAGATTTAGTCTGTTGTACGCAGTTTGCCTAATGACTCAGGCAATAGGTATAAAATCCCAGCTTTAAGCCAGAAAATTTTAGCTTCCTACTCAAATACTTTTTGAGTTATCGCAAAACTCAGGCCAAATAGGGTTAAGGAAACACGGTATACATCTGACTAGGAACATATACATTATTTCTGATAAAAAATAAGGTTCACTATAAAAAGAAATAAGGTTCACAATAGAAAGAAATAAGGTTTAAAATAGAAAGAAATTAGGTTCACAATAAAAAGAAATAAGGTTCACAATAGAAAGAAATAAGGTTCACTATAAAAAGAAATAAGGTTCACAATAGAAAGAAATAAGGTTTAAAATAGAAAGAAATAAGGTTCACAATAAAAAGAAATAAGGTTTACAATAGAAAGAAATAAGGTACACAATAGAAAGAAATAAGGTTCACAATAGAAAGGAATAAGGTTTACAATAGAAAGAAATATGGTTCACAATAGAAAGAAATAATATTCACAATAGAAAGAAAGAAGGTTTACCGAAGAAGGAATAAAATCTTCAATTTGTTTATTCCTCAGAAACACATTTATGCTTAACATGTGATTAATTTTGACCAAAAAATAAATCCCCCCACTGCACTGTTGTGTGGTAAACAGTAAATCTAAAATCACATTACATTTATTGGACAACTTTAAACGAGTTTGCTTTAAACCAGAAACCCGCATAGTTGTTATTTTATATTTGTGTAATATTTGGAACTCAATTAACTACCACTTAAAGGAATTTATTCTTTGCCTAAAACTTTGATTTTCAAATCCTTATATCATTACAACCTAATGTCGCAGACCTTAGATAAAACTACGTATTTTGTTAGATAAAATCATCTGAGGTTGAAATATCAATTGTTTAAAAGCATCTTATCTGTTTAATTTTTTGCGTGGATTTGAATCCATTAATTAAATGTTTAACCCTACCCCTGCTGGGGTACTTGAAAACCAGGAAACACTGGGGGGGGATGTTCAAATTGACCCCCCCCCCCACAAGCGTTTTCTGGTTTTCTAAATCTCATGTTTGATGTACAAATATAACAAATAATACATCGTTGGAAAAGCTCTTATGCTTAACTTTAAGGATCTGCAAAATTTAGTAAGTTTGCAAAAAAAAATTATTTTTTGAAAAATCCAGTTATAGAAAGAACAATTAGGGTTGCAAAAAAATGTTAAAAAAATGATAAATAATACAATTTTGAAAAGCCGTTTCAAATATGCAAAAGTTCTTGCAAAATTTTAAATAACCTGATGTGTAATTAAGAAATGCTAAAAAATTATGCAAATAATTTGCAAAAAATTCCATTACAATACTTGTACAATCCGTTTCCTTATTCATAGGCTTTCCAAAAAGCTAAAAATTATCAAAATCTGACAAATGAAAATGGGTCAGGCAATGCATCGGAGGACTCAGGCAGTAGACCTAAAGGTAGGGCTAGTATTTAGGAAAAGTCAAAAAATTTCAACAGCCTCAGACCGTTACTTTTTGAGTTATGTAATAAAAAATATAGAAGGGGGGCCATGTTCCCCCCCTTCCAGCAGGGGTAGGGTTAAGATTTAATAGATTGAATACTCTTTTGTTCCAGAAGACACAAACCTCTCTATCTACAACATTTTAGGCAAATCGGTCAAGAGTTTCATCTAATCAAACAGATAGCAGAGATTATCACTTTATATATAAAAAAGACCACCCAAGAGGAAAGCCATGGAACATAAGAAATGAGTTTGTGTCTTTGAAATTTTATTTTTAAGTAGGATTATAATTCATACCTTCATTTCCTATCTATCTAATTGGTTATTACAAAAGAAACAAAAGTATTGAACTTCCTTCTTTATACCGGAAATGCTGCAAAGGTAGTAATATAAGCCGGGAGATGAAATTCTAATAAAATATTTTATATTTCCGTCAAAATATGCTTTTATAGATCAGGTTTCTTTCACAACGTCTAAACTACTGGTGCTGTATAAGGGGGATCTCAACTTTAAGATAAAACCTTTTCACTACATATTCACCACTTTCAAGGTTGTGTATATCTAATATCTATGGGACCATATAAGAAATTTAGATTTTTCCAAATTTTTCAAGTTTCCTTGATAAATCCAGGACATTATTTAAGCAGTTATTGTTTTATTTTCAGAAAAGTTGTCGGTATGTAACTAAACCATAAATTTAGACTGCTATAAAATTTACTACTTTAAAGTGTCGCACCGCCTTGGCCCTTCAGTTTACCTTTCTAGCTGAATGCACATTTAAAGCATTATTGTAAAGCACTTGTTTTTAGCTTTACTTTAAGGTATTGACAAAATCATTTGCTTGAGAGCTTGCAACCTGGATCATTGTTAGTATTATGTATTAACAAACAATTTTGGCACATGAAATTTTTACTATTTTAAAATCAGAGGCATTCACATTTCACATTTTTTTTTCATTATACATTGGAGGCTCAACCCTCCCTCCAT